GCTCAGTGGAGAGGCTTGGTATTTCCTCCTCTCCAGGGAGATGCGGCCTGAATCGGGGGAGCCGGGGATGGAGTCCGGGCAGAGGTGCGCGTCCGACTCGCAGTGCTCCATGCGGGTCAGCTTAGGGTGCACCGTGCTCCGCAGGCCGGGCGCCGGAGCCACCCCGCTCTCCTGGGCCTCGGGGGCCGTGTGGCGCCGCGAGAGAGGCTGGGGGGGGGGGGGGGGGGGGGGGGGCCTCTTCCTCTGAGCCCTGGGGGGCGGCCATCTTGAAACCGGAAGGCTCCTGGCCCTCGATGCTGTGTCTCCGCGACAGCAGGCTCCTCCTGGTGATGCTCAGGCTGTTCACCTCGGCCGTGAGCCTCTCCTCCGGCGTCCGGGCCTTCTCCGCAAGGGAGGCGGCCAAGGCTGAGGGCGCCACCAGGCCCCACGGCTCTGAGTTGAGTCTCTTGAGTTGCCTGGGCCGGCCCTTGGGCGGTGGGGCCGACGACCGCTGCTCTGAGGAGGCCTCCCCCTCCAGCCCCTTGGCAGGAGGCGGCAGGGGGCAGCTCAGCCGGGTGGCCATGGTGAAGTTGAAGACGTCCCTCTCCTCCTCCTTCTCGCTGGCCCCGGGCGACTGGGTGGTCTTGACTTCGATGTCGGAGGGGGACATGCACAGGGCGGGCGACTTCTCCTCCAGCCCCGGGGAGGGGGGCGAATTCAGGTACTGCTTGGTCTTCTTGGTGCCCGAGGGGGACGTATCCGTGGTGATGATGATCACCTCCTTGCCCTGGGCCTTGCAGGCGTCCAGCAGCACCTGCAGGGTCTCCCGGTCGCCCCGGTTGATGGCGTACACCAGGGCCGATGCTCCGGAGTAGTCCCTGGCGCTGGGATCGGCGCCGTGCTGCAGCAGGACCGAAGCCACCGCGGGCCCGGCCCGGTCGGCGCAGGCGTGCATCAGGGCCGTCTTGCCGGTCTTGTCGGGGATGTTGGGGTCGGCGCCGTTCTCCAGCAGGTAGCGCACCATGCGGGGCTTGTTGTGCGGGTCGTCGTAGCGGGCCCGGCAGGCGGCGATGAGCGGGGTCTCGCCCTGGGCGTTGCCCTCGTTGATATAGGCCCCGCCCTCCAGCAGCAGGCGGGTGAGGCGGAACTTGCCCTGCCCCACGGCTTTCAGCAGGGCGCTCCCCTCCGCGTGCGGCATGGCGGCCAGCTCGCTCATCGCCAGGCGGAGCCTGGGGCCGGGCGGTCTCGTGGCGGGAAGCTGGGCTTGCGGGCAGCGGGCCGGGGCATGACACAAGCACTGCACCTCCCTGCACAGAGAGAGAGAAAGAGAGAGCATCATGGAACCATACGCTGCTGCAGCACCGTCCAGCGCCACGCACACCATCCGCCCCTGCCAACGCTGCAGCACAGCAGCTGGGTAATAGCTGCACGACCAGGCATCTCGCCGATGACCCAGCCGGTGAGGAAATGCAGCCTGCTCTGGGGTGGAACACGGCAGCTGTGTAACAGCCACACAGCAACGCTGCAGTGAGATCATGCAACTGCTACTCACACACAGCCAGCACTGGTGGGCAGCTGCTTAATAGTCCATAGCCACGGTGCAAAAAGGTCGCTCGTCCAGCACTGACACGCAGCCAACTCTGGGGTGGGACACAGGAGTTGTGGGACAGCTGCTCCATCATGCAGCAAGTTCGGGGGGTGGGGTGGGGGCAGCATGGCCGCTGCTTCAAAGGTGCAGCTACACTCCACGGGGGTTACTCAGCAGGCACTGAAATGCAGCCTGCTCTGGGGTGGAACACGGCAGCTGTGTAACAGCCACACAGCAACGCTGCAGCGAGATCACACAACCACTACTGACGCACAGCCAGCGCTGGCGGGCAGCTGCTTAATAGCCCATAGCCACGGTGCAAAAAGGTTGCTCGCCCAGCACTGACATGCAGCCAGCTCTGGGGTGGGACACGGGAGTTGTGGGACAGCTGCTCCATCATGCAGCCAGTTCAGGGGTGGGGGGGGGGTGGGGCTACACTCCACGGGGATTACTCAGCAGGCACTGAAATGCAGCCTGCTCTGGGGTGGAACATGGGAGCTGTTTAACAGCCTCACAGCACCACTGTTCAGGGATCAGTCACCCAACACGGAAGTGCAGCCACTTCTGCGGGGAGGTGGTGAGGCAGAAGTGTAATGGCATATGCCCAGGCTGCACAGCAATTAGGACAGGCAGTGACGCTGGCCAAGAGGTGGGGTTAAGCAGACAGACTCTCCTTGTTCATATTGAAATTGGGCCTGGCTAAGAAGTGCCCTGGGATTTTGAAGGCCTTTGTGGGATACAGCCTCTGTTTCACATCTTTCCCCGACAGCCACACTGCACCCCTGGATAAGGTGGGAGGCGGGGCCTCAGGGCCGTGCTCCCAGAAGGGGCATGGCTTCTGGTGGAAGGGGCGGGGGCTGGGGACGCCACCCC